AGCTATCCTCGGTTGGTTTTTAAAAGCTTCCCAATCCTCTGACTTCACGATAATCTTCATCATATTGTATGCTTTTTCTTTTGTTTTTATGCTATCCCTAACTTCCTTTACTAGCCATGGTTGCCTCATCCTCCCTTTAGATTGCTTCTTCTTCCTTGGGATGAATTTCTGCTGTGCCTGCCAAATTATTCCCAGAAACTCCTGCCATTGCTGCTCCACTGCTAGCGTCCCCTTGCAATCAACTTTGACCAGCTTCTCCCTCATGTCTTTGTAATTACCTTTACTTGATTGTTACATCTGATTCCAGTTTCTCCCTCTCAAACTGCAGGGTGAATTCTGTCATGTTATGGCCACTGCCTCCTTGGAGTCCCTTCACTTTAAACTTCCTAATCAAGCCTGTCTCATTACACATCACTAAATCCAAAATTGCCCGTTCGTTATTGGGCTCTACGACGAGCTGCTCCAAAAAAAGGCATCTTACAGACATTCCATGAATTCCTTTTCTTGAGATCCAGCCTCTTTTTCCCAGTCACCCTGTATACTGAAGTCCCCCATGATTATTGTAAAATTGGACTGCAGGTTCATAGTTCCTTTGAAAGTGGAGTCGCAGGTAGACAGGATAGTGGAGAAGGTGTTTAGAATGCTTGCTTTATTAGTTAGTGCATTGAGTAAAGGAGTTGGGAGGTCATGTTGTGGCTGTACAGGATATTGGTTAGGCCACTGTTGGAATACCACGTGTAATACTGGTCTCCCTGCTATCGGAAGGATGTTGTGAAACTTGAAAGGGCTCAGAAAAGACTTACAAGGATGTTGCCAGGTTTGGAGGCTTTGAGCTATAGGGAGAGGCTGAACAGACTGGGGCTATTTTCCCTGGCGTGTCGGAGGCTGAGGGGTTACTTTTTAGAGGTTTATAAAGTCATGAGGGGCATGGATAGGGTAATAGACAAGGTCTTTTCCCTCAAGTGGAGGAATCCAAAACTAGAGGGTATAGGTTTAAGGGGAGAGGGGAAAGATTTAAAAGGGGCTTAAGGGGCAACTTTTTCACACAGAGGATGGTGTGTGTATGGAATGAGTAGCCAGAGGAAGTGGTGGAGGCTGGTACAATTACAACATTTAAAAAGCATCTGATGGGGATATGAATAGGAAGAGTTTAGCGGGACATGGGCCAAATGCTGGCAAATGGGACTAGATTTATTTAGGATATCTGGTCAGCATGGGCAAATTGGACCGAAGGATTTGTTTCCATGCTGTATATCTCTGACTCCATTTGTGCCTTTCTTGGATGCCTTTTCTATCTCCTGATTTATTTTCTTCCCCACATACTGACTACTGTTAGGTAGCCTGTACAAAACTCCCATCATATCTTCTTTTATGGTTCCTCAAATCTACCAATACAGATTCTATGCCTTCCAACTCTATATCACTTCTTGCTATCAATTTAGTTTCATTTCTTACTAATAAGGCAACCCTGCCCCCTCTGCCCATGTGTCTGTCCTTTTGACAGGACATGTATCCTTGGATATTTAGTACCCAGCCCCGATCACCTTGCAGCCACATCTGTCATACCCACATAGTATCTGCTAATTTCATTCTGCGCTGTTGTATATTGTATGATTTTTTTTTTTTTTTTTTTTCTTTTTAAGAAGTACAACACCCGTAGTCCAGTGCTGACTGCCCCCCTTCTCATTGTTGTCCTCTTACCTGCTGTATGTGAAGTTAGATTCCTGACCCTTTCCATACTCTGTCTTATTACTTTCTGAAAACTTTAATATCCTCTACTGAGGCCTTCCTGCCTTTTTAACCTTTTCCCTAATTTTCCATGTAACTGAACCCAATCCCCACTATTTAGTTGAAAGCCCTATACACGTGCCTAGTATGCAATTTGCTAGGATTGTTGTTCCAGTATGATTCAGGTGGAGCCCATCCCATCAAAACAGCTCCCAGTACTGGTGCCAATGATCCAGTATTTCTTCTACCACAAAGGCCATCTTCCTACACCTCTGGAACATAATTTGTCTCTGTCCCTGACTCAGCCCATCCATTGCCAAAAGAATGGTCTTTTAGAAGGCATCTCATCCTTTATCTTCCAAAACTTAAACTCATTGAAATCTCTGTCTGTATCCTGAATTGCTTCCTGTCATCCCTGGGCTTGCTAACGTATGTTGGCTCTTGACCTCCCAAGGCCACCTCATATGAACAAGGAACAGAAGTAGGTCATTCAGTTCTGAAGCCTGCCCCACCAACTAATAAGATTGTGGCTGATCTGCATGTGACTTCAAATCTACCTTCCCATTTACCCTTCGTAACTTTCACGCCTTGCTTCCCAAGAATCTATCCAACTCTGTCTTAAAAATACTCAAACACTTTCATTCCACTACATTTTTAGGAAGATAATTCCAGGGAAATAATTTCTCCTCATTTCTGTTTTAAATGGAAACTCCTTATTTTTAAACAATGACAGCTAGATTTTCTCATACAAAGAAATATCTTCTCTAAATCTACCCTGCTAAGACCCCTCAACATTTTGTGTTCCAATCAAGTTACCTCTTAAGCTTCTAAACTCCAAAATACAGGCCTAACCTATCCAATTTTCCATTGTTCACATCTGTCAATAACCTTATTATTCCCTATCTTTGTAACTTTCTCTGCCCTACAACCCTCCAAAGTACACTCTTTAAACTCTGGCCCTTGTGGAACCCCTCCCTTTTTTTTATCCCCAGCATAGACAGCAGTACTTTCAGCCATGAGCTCTGGAATTTCTTCCCTAAGATCCTGTCTTGTTTTAAAACCTTTTTTTAGACCAAAGAAAGGCTTTCTGTTTTTGTCTTTTCTTGTAAAGTATCATGTCAATTGTTTTTAAATTGAATTTAATCCAATTGTATTTCAGAGCATAAATTTAAATTAAGATTATGTAATACATGCTTTATGTTCCCTGAAATTATTCTTTCATCTGACTAATCTTGAATGAAGCACAATTCAGAATTGTAAGAGGAAATTGATCTATTGGTCATGAAAGTGAAAATAGTGTCTCCTCTGCAGAAACTGGAGTCCGACTCAGTTTTAATAATATTCTTGGTGTGTCTATAACTCAGTTAAGTATTGTACCAGTGTCTGTACAACTCCATTTTCGAAGATGAGTTTAACTTCCTGCAGAGGTAAATATGCACAAAATTGCAGGGTTTTTTTGTCACTGGGAGATAAGGGAGAGTGCTACAACTGATTTACTCTTGGGCCAATATCCACCTGCTTAGGGAACGTGTTGGTTTTTTGTATTGTCATTGTAAAGATGGTTAGTTTTGGAAAATTCCCACAAATTTTGGGGTGCAGATTAATAGAAAATGCTGTTAATTCAGTCCTTCTAAACAGAAATTTATTTTTGACTTGTGTATAAACATATGATTAGCTGCATTGTTTGTAGAGTCATAGAGCTGTACAGTACAGAAACAGCCCTGTCTAACTCGTCCGGCCGACCAGATATCCTAAATGAATGTTTCAAAAAATAAATTTAAATGGTTTCTTCTCAGTTGTACATTACTTAAATTTGAAAGTCAAGCAAACAGCCTCACATATTCTAATCTCGGTGGTCATTTACAGTGTTACTGTAACGACCTCTTCTTTGATCAAACTTTTGACAATACCTCGTCATTGAGATAACCATTGCTGGTGCCATAGTTAAGGATTGTAACTTGATCTAATTATACATGTTCGCAGGCACGCACTAAAATGGCCAAATGTTAGATTTATTTTAAACAAATACAAATATTCAAAAATATAAATGATATAGTTCTGAGAACTGAGGCAGGGTCACCCGACCAGAAACGTTAACTCTGATTTTTCTGCACAGCTGCTGCCAGACCAGCTCAGCTTTTCCAGCAACTTCTGTTTTTCTTCCTGATTTACAGCATCTGCAGTTCTTTCGTTTTTATTGATATAACCAATGTTTGTTAATTACCTATTTATTGTATTATTTGAGTGAAGTATAAAAATTAAAGAATGCATTTAAGTGAGTAGTGATTATGAACGAAAAGGAACTGCCCCCTCCCGCACGAGTGATGTGCGTTATCCCTGGTCTAAAGAGGACGTTGGTTTTCAATCATGGAAGAGTACTGTACTCCCATTTGGAAGCAGGGAGATAGAACAGTTATCCGCAGCCCACTGGCGATAATTAATGCTGCATTTTCATTATTATAAACTACATTTATAATTTGGTTCAGAGTTCATTTGACAAAAACCTGCCAGAGAGACCTTAAACAGTCGACTCTGAATTGAGCATTTTGGATTTCAGTGTTCTTACTGTACTGCTGAGGAAGGCCTCAGAAAAGTCCGAGTCAAGCCTTAGCGACTTGGACTTCCTCTTGATGGAATTCTTAAAGGTTTCTGAAGTGAAGTAATAAACAATCGGGTCAAAACAACAGTTGGATACGGCAAAGCACAGCGTGATGGGGTACATTGTTTTAACTACGGTCACTACAGAGCAGTTTCCTACTGTTCCTGTCCTTACCAGTGAATACATCACCAGAGTTATATTGTAGGGTACGAAGCAGGTGACGAAAATGAGGAAATGGACCACAATCATGCGGAGAATTTTTTTCTTGTTTAACTTGCTTCGGGAAAGAGTAATAGGTTGTTTTAAAGTCTTTAGCATCATTGAGAAACAGAAGAAGTTCAGCAGCAGAGGAATAAAGAAACCCACGATCTCAATGAAAATGACAATTTTCGACAGAAAGTTTTTCCAAGTGTGGCTGGAGAAGTTTTCGAAGCACGTTTTGGTTTGATTGGCTCTGTCGTTAGTGGTTCGTAAAAAGGTTGCTGGTATACTTCCGGTGAGCACTGTCAGCCACACGGCCACACACACAACGATGGCGTTTTTTTTCGTCCTCAGCATCCTTGACCGAAAAGGGTGAACGATAGCCAGGAACCGATCCACGCTGATGCAGGTCAGGAAAAGGATGCTCCCATACATGTTGGTGAGAAACAGCGTTCCTGAAACCTTGCACAGCAAGTCTCCAAAGGGCCAGTCTCTGGTCACATAATAAAATATCCGAAAGGGTAGCGTGAAGACAAACAGCAAGTCTGACACTGCCAGGTTGGTCATGTAGGTTATTGTTTCGTTTCGGAGTTGTAAGGAACACCTCAAAACGTACAGAGCCACACAATTTGACACGAGGCCGATTATAAACACCATACTGTACACACTGCTGTACAATGTATACTTGAAGGAGTCGTCAGGAATACACGTAAAGTTTGATTCTGCCATGGTGAGGACTGTTCCCGCTATAGTTATGCTCCCGTTTGGTTCACTGGAAGGACTTTGTCCCTGGGTTAGCTTTACGTTGGAGTTGCATCTTGTTACACAATGGTGTGAAATGGCTTCTTTCCTTTATCTTTAAAACGAACATTGGTTTATTGTAGAAAGTGAACATTGGACTGTTCATTTAACACTGGTTTCGTTTCACTCCCGGTTAAACCAATTTCTTGAGTTAATCTGTTTTGCCAAAAAAAGTTCGAGGTTTTAAACATGCTTTTGTAAGAACATTGCTGTAACTGACCCCGGTTATGCAACTGCACAATAGGAATTCCGCTCTTGAGAATCTGAAGTATGATTGTGTAGACAAAGCTAAATCCAGCCTTCCGAAGTTGTTTAACACGCAAGTTAAGATCCGTTGCTCAGTATCTTGCAAGAATATTCGACTAAAGCTGGTGAGAATCGTATTCCACTTTCTGCAGTAAAGACTCTTAGCAACGAATTTGAAGCAGTCACACCTTTCTCCTGGCCGTTAGACAGGCTTTTCAACTCCCAACAGAGCCCGCACGAAAAAGCTGAATTCAGATAATGTATCTCAACTTTGTGAACATTGTTCTTCGCTAGGTTTCCACCCAACTACGAATATTATTGGTTGAATCCGGCATGGACGCACATGATGCCGTAGGAACATGGTTAGAACAGGTCCAACCCATTTTTCTTGACTGTGCGATGTAGAGTGCCGACCGGATACCTTCAGGGCCAGTAAATACTTAACCAGCACAGATCCCTGATCTGTTAACTATTTAAGTGCTGAATAAATTTTCTTAGCAAGGTTTGATGTGGTTATCTTCATTTGGATATAAGTAGCCTGCAGTTACTTGTGCGTCAGCTTTAAATTTATTCACTCGTAGAACGTGAGCGTTGCTGGCTGGTCGGCATTTGTCGCCCTTGAAGGTTGCTGGTGAGCTGCCTTCTTGAACCTCCGCAAACCATATGCTGTAGGTAGACTTATAAGGACCTTAGGAAAGGAATTCCAGAATTTTGATAGTGACAACGAAGAAGCAGCGATATATTTCCAAGTCAGGATGGTGAGTCGCTTGAAGGGGAACTTGCAGGTTGTGGTGTTCCCACCTATCTGCTGTTTGTCCTTTTAGATGGAAGTGGTAGTGGGCTTGGAAGGTGCTGCCTAAGGATTTTTGGCAATTTTCCGCAGTGCATCTATAGGCCGTACTGCGACTGCAACTAATAAGCATTGATGGTGGAGGGAGTGAATCCTTATAGATGTGCCAGTTAAGTGGGCTGCTTTGTCCTGAATGGTGTCATGCAGCGTGAATGTTGTTGGAGCTGCACTCATCTATGCAGATGTGGTGTATTGTATCACATTCCTGACTTGTGTATTGGAGATGGTAGGCAAGCATAGGGGAGCCAGGAGATCAGTTAAAGCCACTGTATTCCTGGCCTCTGACCTGCTGTTGTAGTCACGGTGTTTTTGTGGAGATTCCTTTTGAGTTTCTGGTCAATGGTAACTCCAGGGTGTTGATAGTGGGGTTTCAGTGCTGCTGACACCATTGAATGCCAAGGAATGCTTTTTAGATTGTCTCTTATTGGAAATTGCCTGGCATTTGTATGGCACGAATGTTACTTGGAACTTGCCAGCCCAAGCCTAGATGTTGTCCAAGTATTCTTGCATTTCAACATGGACTGCTTCAGTATCTGAACAGTCGCGAATGGTGCTGAACATTGTGCAATCATCCCCACTTCCATGATGGAGGGAACATCATTAATGATGGTCGGGCCTAGGACACTACCCCGAGGAACTCGTGCAGAAATGTCCTGAAACTAAGATGACTGACCTCCAATAACCGCACAACTGTTTTACTTTGTGCCAGATATGACTCCCACCAGCAGAGAGTTTGCCCCAATATCTCTTGATTCCAGTTTTGCTAGAGCTCCTTGATGCCACACTAGATCAAATGTGATCTTGATGTCAGAGACTGTGATCCTTGCTTCACTTCTTTTGTTAATGTTTGAACTAGGGTTCTACTGAGGTCAGGAACTGACTGGCCCTGATGGAACCCAAAATGGATTTTATAGAGCAGGATATTGCTGAGTAGGTGCTGCTTTATAGCACTTGATGACACCTTCCATCACTTTAATGATGATCAAGAGTAAACTGATGGGGTGGTAATTAGCAAGGTTAGATTTGTTGAGCTTTTTAATGTACCAAGGCATAACTGATCAATTTTCCACATTGTTGGATAGGTGTTAGTGTTGCAACACTGCTGGAATAGCTTGGCTAGGGGAGCAGCAAGTACTGAAGCACAGTTCTTCAGAACTTTCTGGAATGTTGTCAGGGCTCAAAGCCTTTGCAGTATCCAGTGCCTCCAATTGTTTCTTGATGTCATATGAAATGAATTGAACTGGCTGAAGATCGGCATCCATAATGCTGGGAAGCACTGGAGGAGGCCGAGATGGCACTTCTGGCTGAAGGTTTCTGCAGTGCTTCAGTCTTATCTTTTGCACTGATATGTTGGGCTCTTTCATCATTGAGGATTGGGATATTTGTGGAGCCTCCTCCTCAGTGAGTTGGTTAATTGTCCATTATCAATCATGACTGAATGTGAGAGGAGTACAGAACTTAGATCTGATCCATTGGTTGTGGGATCGCCTTAGCCCTGTCTGACCTTTGCTGCTTACCTGTTTGGTGTGCAAGTAGCCCTGCTAGGTAGCTCCACCAGGTTGACACTTAATTTTGAGGTACCCCCAGTGTTGCTCCTGGCATGCCCCCCCTGCACACTCCAATGAAGCAGGGTTGATTCCCTGGTTGATAGTAATGGTTGAGTGGGAATATGCTCGGCCATGAGATTGCAGATCATATTGGAACACAAATCATTTACTTCAGACTTGAAACTGTCTATAACTTAAAATGTTTGTTAATAAGTATCCCGTATGTACTGCACTATATCCTGAGCTCACTGAAGCTCTGGTTGAGTCAGTTTTGTTCTTTGTCTAGACAGTGTATACTTTGTGTGTTCAGACTTTTTATGCAGTGTACATTTTACCGTGATTATTACTTTGCGGACACTTGTTTCGCCCCAACAATTCCATTTTGATATTTTGATTTTTGCTGCTTGTGGAAACATGCTGTGTACAAAATAGTTACCATGTTGCCAATGGAGTCAACAAAAGCTACATTTCAGAATAACTCATTAACTGGAAGCACTTTGGGGTATCCTAAGTAAATGAAGATGTAAAATACATGTATATTCTTGACACCAGTTAAAGCTGCAAAATGTGGGCTTAAGTATAGGAAGTTAGACCTTGGAATACTTTTCTGGTTTAAAAATTGGTTTGTTCATTTTAGTTCCATTAATCAGTACAATGGACCTTTAAGCTTCCTTGTGATATTATCCAGAGTTGACATTACATCATATAATGTGTACCTAAAACTGGTCTGGTTTGGCCAGTTAACTAGTTTTTCTTATCTGCAACTTCTGTTTATAAACATGTTTGTACTGAAATTGTGTAAGCAGTCCTACATATGGTAAGAAAATTCCAAACATTCAACAATATGTCCTTTTAGCTTTCACACGGAATAGTGGGAGTGCAAGGCTCTGATTACTAACCCTACATGCCCTCTCTGCTGCATGTGCGCTTACTTGGGATACTTCACCACCAAACCAACATTAAAAGCCACTGTGACAGCCACTTCCATTTCACTCAATCTGAACATGCCGCGCCAATAAAAATTTGTTTGGTTAAATGTTCTTTTTTACTGTAAGATAGCTGGTTTTATATTGTCAAACACCCCATGCCATTATGACCAGGTCTTGAATCATCTCGGACAGCTTTTGACTAACAAATCATAGCACCCGCTTTTATATTAGTCTTTTAGTTGTATTCCTCCAGTTGTCAGCTCTAGGTACAAGCTGATAAAATATTAATATAAAAAGACCCTGGGCTGAATGTTACATATTTGTTTGGCCAAGTTCAAGTTGTATTAAGTTTTTGGGAGGGTTTATTGCCTTGAGGCCTAGGAAGTTCTCTAGCCCTATCTTAGCAAACTTGTTGCCCTCATGGCATCTCTTGGGTCCAATTTCCACGCCATCTTGCCACTTGTCATTCATACAATAACTTGCCACTTACCAGATACCCCGTAGTTCACCGGCATCCTTTGTACCTGCCCTATCTGTAAAAACCCGCATGATGTGCACTCGGACAAGCACGGTCAATCTGTAGCTGCCCTGCATGGTTCCTGACATTTGCTTTGAACATGGGAAATTGGCGCTCTGCTTTGTGGGCAGGGTCTTTGTGGTCCTGCTGCAGAGCGTGGGGGGCTTCCTTTTCTCCAAGGACCAGCAGAGGAAGCCACAATAATTAGACCATGTCAGCCTGGTCTGAAGTGCCAGCCAAGTTAAAGCACTGTCAGCCACCTGGAGGAATGCCCAGCGTCTGTCTCTGCCAGTGTATCTGCCTTCCATAGGTTCATGCTCTACACTTTCACTGTTCCCTCTTTAATGCCTCACAACTTCCCTATTCTCCCTCATTCACTCCAATCCCTGACAGCTGTAACCCTACATGCCCTCTATGGTGCCAGCACACTCATGCAGGACATCTCCCCTCATGCATCAACAACAATAACTGTGGCACCCACTTTCGTATTCTGTAATATCTGATTGTCTTTTATTCCATGAGGAAATTAAATTTCACTCATTATGAGGAGAAGATCCTGACTCTGATTACCCCAAACAGGGCCTGGACTGGGATGGGAGACTGCCTTTTACTTACTATCCTGGGGACCCCAGAGCAAAGGCCTCCTGACAACTATGACAAGCATCCTGATTGAGTCCGCACTAGATGACGAGACCAGACAACAGTAATATGCACATGGTATGTCTGGCTAAGGGGGAAAGCACCAAATGGCCAGGATATCGATGCAAGACTAGGATGCTTTGAGCTTCCAGGTGGGATGAGAGTAAATGAGTACTTTCACAGTGCGCAAAGAGCTCAGTGATGCAGCGTGGTCCAGTCCACTATCTGCGTATGTGTCCCTGAATACACACTGTCCTTGCTGTAGTTTGGCAATTGACCGTGTAATGCATGATACGGCATTGAAGTGCTGAAGTGGCCTGTGAGTGAATCCGAGATGTACCATGAGGGTTCTTAAAAGCTGGCCATGTCAGATGCCGATGTGGCCAATGCCCACGGAGTATTTCCTGAGATGTCCACATACAGTGTGGAGATCATTCAGAGGCAAGCAGCAACCTGACTCCACTAGGTACTCATTCTGGTTTCCTTGTTGACTTATCCTGATATCTGGCTTGTTTAGTGCGTTTGATACAGTGCCAGTCGGAATATTGGTGAGGTGAGTTGTAGCATTAAGAAGGTGTTTAATAAACAATACTAACCCTCAGTTGTCACCCCACTGCTGCCTAGTGAGAATCTTGCCACACTGCTTGTGAGAAGAATAAAAGATGGAATAAGATGGTACTGAGATGGGTGTCACCACACTGATCGTCTGATGCTGCTGCAAATCTCACCATAGGCCACATCACTCAGACCCCTATAAGATTCCTATCTCCTTAAACTCTTTGACTTGCTAAAACTGATGGCTAGGAGAATCAGTAAAAGTGTGACATGGATGGCTGTTTTTGCAGGTCCTGTAGTTTTAGGCTTGACAAACTACACAGGCTACACC